GAATCGTGGAGCTGGACGGGACCCGAGAGATCGAGTCCAGCCGGTGGAACAACGAGCTTTGCCGGTGGCCCTGAACTTCTTGGGCAGCCAGCCTGAGGAGCAGCAGCCATTAGCTGTAAGGCCTGGCGCCTCACCCTCACCTTCCATCTAGGCTGCACGACGCTAGCGTGAGCGTCACAGCCGGCTGTGCGAAGGGTCTGTCCTACTGGCCCCCACTGGCACCAGATAAGAAAAACGGAGTTAACAGCATTTCGTCTGGCAAGAAACTGTTTGCCAATGGTTGTGGGTGTGGAATCCGCAGTCTAGGCTTATCGTCCTCAGTTCCCATTGTCTGTCTGTGGGAGCTGTCTGGCTGGTAACTGTTTGTCTGCTGCATAATTAATTTTGCTAGGTGTAAATCTACTAAGGTGGTGGGTCTGATTGGTTAGGTAATTCTGTTACAGTACATTAGGGTTGGTTAGTAAAATTATACTAAAATAATTGGTTACGATATAGCTAAGCAGGACTCAAGTTTCGCTATATAAACTGGGGTCCTAGAAGAAGAAAAGAGGGAAGAAGGAAAAGGGGGAAAGCAAGAAGAGGAAAGGGAAGGAAAGAAAGAAAGAAAAGAAGAGCAAGAAGGGGGAAGACCTGGAAGAACTCCCCTCCAAGACACAGCCTGATACCCGAGCTGCTGAGACTTCTCTGCACGGTTGTGATGTAACAGCCAGACCCAGAGAGACTGACGGTGCCTGGCCAACGGGGGAAGTCTGCCTGCCTGTATCAGGACTGGTGAGCATGAGGCTGTGCGCTTCGCATGTGTATTCTGCTTGCTTGGGAATTGTCAATCAATAGAGGATCAGGACATTACTGTGTGAGGCTCTTTCAGTGGCTAAAGATCCTGCAAAACCGGCAGGGAGTTGTGCCCTGAGCCCTAGGAATTGGGTAAAGGTGTGTGTAGGAAGTTGTTACCTGCAGCACCTTGCCCTGGAGTGGTTGACAAGGGAGCTGCACAGGCGAGCCAAAGTGCTGTCAACAACCCAGGGAACTACAGACCAGTCAGCCTTATCCCAGTCCCTGGAAAAATCATGGAGGGGTCCTCAAGGAATCCATTCTGAAGCACTTGGAAGAGTGGAAAGTGATCAGGAATAGTCAACATGGATTCACCAAGGGCAAGTCGTGCCTGACCAACCTGATTAGCTTCTATGAGGAGATAACTGGCTCTGTCAACATGGGGAAGTCGATATGGATCTGATATCTCTTGGCTTTAGCAAAGCTTGATACAGTCTCCCACAATATTCCTGCCAGCAAGTTAAGGGAATATGGATTGGATAAATAGACTGTAAGGTGGATAGAAAGCTGGCTAGACTGTCGGGCCCAGTGGGGAGTGATCAACGGCTCCATGTCAGGTTGGCGGTCGGTTTCTAGTGGTGTGCCCCGAGGATCGTTTCTAGGGCTGGTTTTGTTCAACATTTTTATGAATGACCTGGCTGAGGGGATGGATTGCACCCTCAGCAAGTTTGCAGATGACACTAAGCTGGGGGAGAGGTAGATACGCTGGAGGGCAGGGATAGGGTCCAGAGTGACTTAGACAAATTGAAGGATTGGGCCACAAGAAATCTGATGAGGTTCAACAAGGACAAGTGTAAAGTCCTGCCCTCGGGAGGGAAGAATCCCAAGCATTGTTACAGGCTGGGGACTGACTGGCTAAGCAGCAGTTCTGCAGACAAGGATCTGGGGATTACAGTGGATGAGAAGCTGGATATGAGCCAACAGGGCGCCCTTGTAGCCAAGAAGGCTAATGGCATATTCGGGTGCATTAGGAGGAGCATTGCCAGCAGATCCAGAGATGCCCGGTAGGGCAGGGGACTTTGCACACTCCCCTGCCCCTCGCCCTGATTGGCCTCCTCCCACCACCAGGGGCCTGGGCGCCTGGGGAGAACTTCTGGGGCAGGCTAATGGTATTGACAGTTCATTTCCCAACAGGGCGTTAGTGGTGGGCTTCAGGGAAACGTTTGGGGCGGCCTGCGCGGCAGCATGGGCGGGGCCGCTCATTTCACGCGTGCAGCCGTGCGGCAACGTGCGTAGAGGGGCTGAGACCCACTGAGCCACGCTGCAAGCCCTGCGTAGAATGGAAACACTTCAAGCTGCCCCGCCCGGCCCACGTGTGCCCAGGCGCTTGGAGAAGGAAAGCAGCTCTGTCCAAGCAAGCCCTGGGTCCTCGACTCCGTCCCCTCACCTACCTGAGGGCAGCCGCTCCTCCGGCTCATGGGTCTCTCCCACGCCAGCAGCCCCCACCTGGGCTCCGAGCAGCCTTGCTCCCCGCTCCCTGCCTGACTGGCAGTTCATGTCCTTTTCCTGGTTTCATCTCTTCCTTGTTGGTGGCAGGGCTGAGCTGCTGCTGGCTCCCTGGCCTGGGAGAGCAGTGCCCTCCGCAGGCAGCGAGGAGGCACAGCCCAGCCCTTGCTCCTGGATCTGTCAAACCAAGGGCTGCCCTCTCCCATTGCCAAGTGACACCTCTGGCTAGCGCTGTCAGGCCTGGCAAGCAGGGCCAGCCCGCGAGGAGCCTCCAGCACAGCACGCGCTGTGTATTAGCCTCTCGCGCGTCTGCCTCTCGGGGGGCCCTTTGGAGACCCAGCCGCCTGCCAAGGTTGAAGGCCCCGTTTAGCCGATTAAACGCGCCCGCTTGACAAACCAGCCTTTCAGCCAGGCCAGCGAAGCGTTTACAGGATCTTACCAAAAAGCTCCCCACTGGCTTTGGCCTTAGTTTGCTGCAGTGCCGCTGCCCTGCTCCACTCCAGCCGCCTGGAGGCATCTCTGTCCAGTCCCAGCTCTGCAGCCGGGCTGTGGAGGGGGGCAGGGGCACCCAGCAGGTGAGACACACACAGCGCTGCCCAAGCGACGTGCATAGTTCTGCACTCTGCCCACTGGCTGGCCTGTCCTCTTCAGGGAGGAGGGATCATCTGCACCCACATCTCACCCAGACAAGGCCTGGGAAAGCTTCCTAGGCCCTCCCCCCTCTCTAAAGGGAGGGCATCGTTTGGCCGACCACCACCAGACACCACTGTGAACACCAGGATACCCTCATCCCTGCCCTTAGCGAAGCAGTCAGCTTTCCCAGGAACATGGACGGACTCGGATCGGTCAGAATCCTTGCAGGAACATCAGCCATACAAAGCTTGATCGCTGGACCTGGTCACTGCAGGCCAGCAGCCTCCTGAGTTTGCACCCACTTTGCCAATTGCACATGGGAGAATGTGCACGATTGCTTTGGGGTCCTTTGTGTATCCCTGGCCCTCCTACAATAAGCACGCGGGTTTCAAATGTCACCTTGAAAACGTGTCATGAAAACTTCCCAACCCACACAGCTCCTGGTTTTCCCATAGAAGTCAGTACAAACCGTTTCACTGGCCTCGAGCAGAATTGTGCAGAGGTACCACAATAGCTGCCTTGCCTGGGGGTTTCTCCGAGATCACTAATCAGTAGCGTGATTTTTTCCACAATGCTTGGAACAAGCAAAACCCAGGAAGTTTCTGCTATGACACTCGATGCCCCAGAGCAATGTCCTGGCACCCTTGGATTCACCACTGCCATGTAATGATGATAGTTTTGTGCAAAGTAAGCCTGGTGAGTATCAGTCTAAAAGTCTTGATGAGCTAAACCGTAACTGCGCATTGGGCTGATGTGTTAACGCCGTATGGCCATATCTACACAGCAACATTATTTCAAAACAATTGAGTCCGCCCCTACACAGCAGGCAGTTATTTCAACATCATGTCAAAATACTGTCAAGCCAGAGGACTTCTTCCTCCGACTCCTGTAACCCTCACTGTACAGGGAGTAAGGGAAGCTGGGGAAGGGCACTCTCTCTCTCCAAGTGAGTGATGTGTAGACAGCACCCAAACGCAAAAGAAGCTATTTCAAAATGAGCTACACAACGGACGTCGCTCAATTTGTACAGCTTATTTCGAGTTAAGTCCTGCGGTGTGGATGTGTCTTATGAGGCTATGAATACGTTAGTACAGATGGTGTGAAGTTAGCACGAGAACCACGGGTCACCAAATGAAATTAACAGGTAGCAGGTTTAACACAAACCAAATAAAGTATTTCTTCATGCAGCTCACCTTCAACCTGTGGAACTCCCTGCCAGAGGATACTGTGAAGACTAGGGCTTTAACAGGGCTAGATAAATTCATGAAGGACAGGCTGTTAGCCAGGATGGGCAGGGAGGGTGTTCCTGGCTTCTGTCAGAAGCTGGGAATGGGTGACAGAGGAGGGATCACTTGATGATTCCCTGTTCTGTTCCTTCCCTCTGGAACACCTGGATACTAGGCTAGATGGACCTTTGGCTTGACACAATGTGGCTGTTCTTGTGTTGGAAACACCCACGACAGGGTAACCGTCACATACCAGAAGCAAGACTTTCTAATATTCTGTTAAAAACAGGAGACCCCCATCAGGGAGAGCTGGCTGAGTTGAGTTTGTTTTTTCACAACTTACCAATATAACCGACGAAATGCACAGAAATGCAGCCAACTCCGGTGCAGTGGTGAAAACTCTACTCCACAGACTGACAGTAAAAAACCAAACCAAACCACGGACCGCTCTCCCGCAGCAGCATAGCGGTCTGCGCTGGAATTGGGATAAGCCAGCTCTCATCAGGAGTGCGCATGCACCAGGGGATTTTTCACACCCACAACTAGAGATGGCTTCAATTTACATCTCCTCTGAAATCCTGCACCCGGCACTATGCCGGGAGCAGCTCGGGGGAAGAGCACCCTCAGCGTTCCTCGGAGCCTCCTGTGCCAGACACATGCAGCCCAAACCGCCGCTAGTCGGCGACATCCAGTGAAAGCACAAAGCCTGGGATGCTGTGGCACGAAGTGCAGCTTTCAGCAACGGGACACGGCCATGCCATGAGCTGGAGGGATGCAGTCTCTTTAATACCAGCCGAGTCATTTACATTCGGTCAATATACACCATTGCTCAAAAGAAACGGCTGCCAGCCCACGCTGCTCGTGTGCGCCCACAGAGCCAAAGGAGAACAGAACCCCCCTCCAGCTGCCCAGTTACACCCTCTGAAGGGGGAGGAGTGGAAGAGGCTGGGGCAGCTGTGTCACAACCTGCTGCCCCAGTGGAGTGGACGAGAAAGGAAGAGCTGGGGAGAAACCCATCTCCCCTTTTCAGTGCTTCTGGTCTCCCGCGGTGGGAGCCCTCTCCCCGAGCCCACAGGCTCCAGGGCAGGCAGCCCCGGCCAGAGTGGCTGTTGGTGCTCAGTGCTTGCCACAGGAACAGGACCCCCGCTCAGGGAAAGGGTTGGCCCGGCTGAGCTCAGCTGGGCTGCAGGCACGCAGTGCCCACGTGTGGCAGGGAATGGAAGCAGAGCACGCCGGCTGCATGGCAAGCGTCTTACGCATTCACGGGCGTTTTGACCACTGCTCTCCAGCAGGCCCCATGCCCAGCCCACCCCTGCCCTCTGGCTGTAAGAGAAATAGAGTAGGGGTCTCCCAGTGGCAGCCCCCTTATCCAGCAGGCGCGGCCAGGCACACGAGCCCTGCGGGCCCAACCTATGAGAACTTGGAGGCTCCTAAAGCAAGAGGCTGGAAAGGGAGGCTGGCTCCTTCCTTCCCTCTCCCAGGTGGAAGCCGGAGCTGAGCGTTAACACCTGCCCACTGCCTGGGTCCTGGCTGCTCCAGAGCGGAGGTGGGGCTGTGTGTGGGGGGAAAAGGGGGGTTACTCCTCTGATGGACAGGCACCGATGCCCACTGCTAGCTGTTGGGGAAAGGATGGTCCGTGTTCCTGCCATCAGGGAATCCTGGGAATTCAGTGGCATGATTTTCCGGGGCAAACCCAGCCTCCAAAAGCCTTCTCCAGGTACCGAGCCATAGCCAGTGTCAGATGGTCATTGTGCGGGCCTGCCACCACCTGGACTCCCAAGGGAAGGCCCTCACTGTTCAAGCCCAGCGGGCACTGGGTGACAGGCAAGCCCAGGACATTGAAAACAGCTGAAAGAAAGAGAAGGGCAGATCAGAAGAGACCCAAAGCGCCCGTCCGTGGTCCCGTTCCCATCAGCGGCCGAGCTGGCAGGGCCTCTGAGCCAGGGCAGGCAGCGAGCACCGCCTGCACGTAGCTCAAGCAGGAGGGGTGTTTCCCGAGTCGGTTCGACTGGGGAGTTCCCTGGCCTTGCCATGCAGGTCGGCCTCCGTCAGGGGGCTCAAGCTTCCTGCATCGTGACCCACTTCCGACAAAAGGATCGTTACACGACCTTCGGAAGGGGGCCAAAGGTGCAGCCCCGCTGCTCAGAACTGAACACCTTGGGCTTCCGGCCCTATGTGGGGCTCAGTCTTTGGCTTCTGCCCCAGGCTCTAGCAAGCCTAGCGCCAGCTCTGGCAGCCCCAATGAAACAGGGTCCTGACCCTTCCCCTCCAGGCGCAGAATCACTGTTTTCAGTGCACCAAGGCATGTGCCAAGAGAAAGAGAGAGCCGAGCCGGGGCGCTCTGCGGATCACCGGGGTGGCACTGAGCGGCCGCCCAAGTGCCCAGCTCGCAGGGAGCCCCGGTTCTGACCCACAGTTTGAGAACTGCTGGACTAGATGATCACAGCCATCCCCTCTGGCCTTTGAATTGAGGAACAGCCAAGCTGCGTGCTGGCTGGGACTGTGAGCCCTCCCGCATTCTCCAGGGCGAGAGAGCACACGGCTGGGCTGCCTCTCGGACCTGGGAACGCCTTTCCCCGGTTTTCCAAAGCGGAGCCTCTGTGAGAGCGCCCTCTCTTGCTATGCTTGTGCTCCCGGGAGAGGCCTTTTGAGCATGCATAGAGCGCTCCGACTGCTTCTGGCAAGGCCACGGCTGCCAGCTCACGTGCCACCAACTGCAGGGCCGCTCACCTGTGTATGCGAAGTTGAAAGGCATCCCCAAGGGAGAGTAGTGCTTAGGTGCCACGACGGGGTGGGAAGGGTACAGAAGTAGCCCATCCGACCCCAGCAAGTTCATCATCTCCGTCCGCAGGCTGCGGCCCATGCTCACCAGCTTGGCATTCCCACCAGGGGTGAGTTTCATCAGCTTCTCCGTCAGGGCCAGGGCTAGACAGCAACACAAATGCAGCATTGAGACAGCACGTCCACAGAGCAGCCCCCCCGCCCACCACAGGAATGGCTCCAGAAGCAGGTGGGAGGAGACTGTCTGCCCTCAGGCTTGCCCGTGGCTACAGCAGGAGGGCTGAATGTGCTTTGCCCTCCACACTGACCAAAGACTCTGGGAAGACCATGAACTCCTTTGCTCCATGGGGTGGACATAAAGAGCGCAAGGTCAAAGGGGTTCAGCTATACGAGAGGCACGTGGGGTGGTGCGCGTCTGCTTCTTTGAAAGCCAACCATTCTCAGACTGAGTCGAACAAAATACTCCGGTCGGGGAGCACGGCACCCCCGGCCCTGCCCAGAGACTTGCTCCCAGAAGCGCACACTGACTCAGATGAGAAACTATTCACTCTCCAACGTCTACGAGGTTCACCCTGCCAGGCCTTCCCCAATGTTTTACCCAGGATCATTTTAAAGCTCAAGCAATGAGGTTTCTGCCACTTCCCACAGGAGATTATTCTGCAGCCCCATGACCTCAGCTTTCAGAAGTTTTTCCTAATATGTCACTTACGTTAGCCTTTGCAAAGAAACACCCTGAATACTTCCTCTTCGTCCTTAGCATCTGTAGGCTCCAGATATTTGGAGATACCTACTATGTATTATTGGAAACACTTCGTAGCTGCCTTGAGCTCAGAGAAGCCAAACCAAAAAACGGAGTGGAGGCACCATTCCAGTAAAAAGCCCAAGAGCCAGCAAAGAGAACTCCCACCCACTCCATAACATAGCTCCCAATGTTCTGAACTCAGTCACGGGCCACAAGCATACAGATCCTTTACCTCCCTGAAGTCCTCCCTCACTTAGAGCCCTGTAAACCCTGCTAAACACAGCGTCTTGGGGGGAAGTGGCGCCCGCGCAGAAGAGCTCACAGCTGCTTTTAGGACAGTGTGAAGGATTCCTTCGCGGAAACACTAAACTGTTGTTCTTTGAGGTGTTTCTCATGTTCCTTACAAGCAGGTGGCACAGGCAGTCACTGGAAAGTTTTCCCTCTAGCGGTGCTCATTAAGTCGGCTGTAAAGCCCCCTGGAGCTGTGTCTTCATGGCACTGCAGAGGGGCCTGCCAACCCAATACCTCTTCAGGGGCAGGCGGTAAGTCTGGGAATGGACAGGCACAGCACATCTCGAAGAACAGCGACGAGATGGGGAACCACTCTCCCTAGGAGAGCTTGTTCATGTCAGTTCCAAGGACGGAACTGCCAAGCTTTCCCTAGGAGGCAGGACCGGAATTCATGGAATGGCTGCCGAATGCTGGCTAACAGTGTAATGAGTGTGACCTGACGACCATATCACTGCCCTGCAGATCTCCGGGAGCGGGACTGCCGCAGAGGAGGCCTGTGCTCTTGTAGGACATGCCATCAGTGTAGGAGCAAGCATCTTTGCCAAACCATAGCATGCTCAGACACAGGACGTGACCCCAATGAAATTCTTTGGGAAGACACAGGAGGCCCTTCATCCTGTCTGGTTCCGCGACATACATCTGGTTCAATGTATGAAACCGCTTTGTGCCTTCGATATGAAAGGCCAATGCCCACCGAATGGGTAGTCTAGATGGTGCTGGGTCCTGCTGTCAGGGCAGGGGTCTGGACACGACGATCTCTCGAGGTCCCGTCCAGTTCTAGGGTTCTCCAGCTCTATGATTCTAACCCAATGGGTACCGCTAGGGGACAAACGTTCCAGCAACGTGCATGTGGCACGCACACACACCTGCTTGGAATCAACAGAAGCAAGCGCTCAAACAAGAACTCAAGCAATGGGGGAGGGATTTAAGGAGGCTGGAATCTGGCCCAATTATCCCAATCTTCCAAAGAGATCCCATTTCATAGCAGCAGGTTGAGCAATAACCCTGAGAATTCACTAAACAGAAGGGCCCATTAAGAGGGGCTGGACTTTACCAATGGCAGGGATGGTGTGAAAAGACATCCCCAGGAACCATTTCATCAGCTCCCACAGCGGCCACACGGGCTTCCCATGGTCCCCAAGCAGGTCTGTGAACAGCTGTGCGTCCTGCAATTAACACACATCATGTCCATGCTGGCAGGTGGCTGCGGTTAACAGGCAGGTAAGAGAAAGCGCTGAACCCACTGGCAGCAGCATGATCACAGTCACCAGGCTATCTGCATTTCTGTGGAGCAGGGGAGGGGAGACCAGGGACCAACCCCCACCGATACCGGAGCAGAGCTTCTCTCTCTGGAGCTGGAGAGGAGGAAGCCTGAGGGATGGGGCACAGCAGGGCTGCTTGGGATTGTGTCTTTCAGGGGAGCTGAGCCTTTTTGCTATTTGCACATGCACTCCACTAAGCGTGCTATGGGATTCTGACAGGAAATCCTGCGATGCAGAGCTTGGAGCTCAGGACAAGCAGTGAAAAGAGTCAGAGGAAATAAGTAAGAGTGAGAGAGACGATGGACACCAGGGATCTAAGCAAAGCACCAAGCGGGTAGCTCTGCCACACAGACCTGCCAATGGACCTGCAGCACTGTTGACACTATATGCTGGCTAGCACATATAACATCTACCCCAGCGTTTCAAGAGGGGCCTGTCACGCACCTGGCCATCGCTGTCCTGGGAGGACATCATAGCCGACCAGATCTGGAAAGCGTACTTCATCTTGTGGATTGTTACATGCTGCACTTGGACCCCCAGCTGCGTCTCCAGGTGCTCCACCACCTTATGGAAATACAGGAGGAAGCGCGTAACCACCCTCTCGTGTGCCAGGCCATGCTCTCAGCAGCAGCGAGACCCCGGTGGCTCTGGGTAAAGCAGAGTGCCGAGGCCAGTGGGCCAAGCACACCAACGGAGCGGTCCCACGGGAGGTGCAACCACGCCTGGGATGGAAACACGGCTTTCAAAGTTAACCATTTAAACCAACACAAATATTTCATTTAAACACTCAAACGAAACACTCCAGCATGTGGCTCTGCAGTGGGGCCGCTGGGGTCAGCGGGCCGGCAGGGGGCCGGCCAGGCATCCTGGAGCTAACGGGTAAGACTAATGTTTACCAGTTAACCATTTACATCTCTACCATCCCGATTTCTATTATTTGGCTGGGCACTACCGTTCCAGACATGCAGGTCTCCATAGCCAAGGCCGATAGCTAGAGTCTGCCCTGTCCCTTGAAAACTGCCGATGCAGCTCTCAGCTGAACAAAGTCAGGGCGCCCAGAAGCTAGAAGCAAGGGCCGAGACTAGAGCAGGACTTTTTAAGGACACAGCATCTTTCATCACCAGGTACAGCAGAACGCTCCATCACCCTACCTGGGACTTGGCAGGAACGCTGGACAGCCTCGTCTCAGGTACGAGCTCATGGCTCGTGTTCACGCATGACTTGGCCCAAGGCTGGCTCTACCAGACTGCACATGCACTGGTACTAGAAATACGCCACGAGATCGCAGGTTCACGCTGTCTCTTCGGGACGGGACCTAAGCGGCAGTGTCCTAGCTCCGTGAGCTGGCTCAGCATTCGGCCAGACCCAGCTCTCCAGGGACGCGAGCCCCCGTGGAGAACGCCGGCAGCACACCGCTCTCTCAGGCTGTGACAAGCCCTGGTCTCCGCGGGGCCGGGACACCAATCGCCTGGCAGTTTGAGAACATGAACGCTCCCACTGGAGACTGGACAGGCAGTCCCGTTCCTTTGGCTTATGACTGGCATCAGGCTCCCCCGCCAGCATGATCTTGGTCCAACTGATCAGAACCCGTTCAAAGGTACTACAGGTTGAACCTCTGCAATCTGGGGCTCTCTGCTGTCAGCGCCTGTGGTCTGCACCAAAGAGCCAGGAGCGGGAGCCAGCTGGGAGTCTGGCAACCAGGAACTCCAGCTGGGGCCAGGGAGCTGACCCTGACCGGGAGCCCCAGCTGAGGCTGGGCAACCGCAGTTTGACTGGCGGCTGGGAGCCTCAGCTGAGACCAGGCAGCCACGGCCAGTAGTTGGAGCCCCGGCCGAGCTGGCAGCACCCTCGGTCGGCGGCAGGGTGGGAGGCTCCAGCCCGGCTGACGGCAGCGAAGCCAGCAGCAGTCTGGGAGCCCCATACCGGAGCCCGAGCCCAGCGGTAGCAGGACCGGAGCCGGGGCCAGAAGTGGACTTGGCAGCAGGGACAGGCCGGGAGGCCAGTGGCAGGGAACCTCTGCTAATCTGGCAAATTCCCTCGTTTGGGACCAGTCAGGTTCCAGTGGTGCCGGGCCAGGGAGGTCTGCCCTGTAGCACGAGGGCCATTGTCAATAGGAGACGGAACAGACACAGGTAGAGCAGGTCACCTCTCACCCAAATGACTCTCAACCTCTCCCTGCTGCCCTGCCTACCATGCTTCTTGCCACCTGCATGGCCAGGTCTTACCTTCCTCTGGGCCCGAAGAATTTCCTTGTCCACAGGGGACACAAAAACCGAGCCCCCATCATGCTCCATGCTGTAGAATTTTACTTTCTCCAGCGAAACCTCTTCATCCAGCTTCAGCCTGCAGTGGAAGGAACCAGAGCTGGGAACAGCCCCCATCTCCTGCTGTTCCCTCAACACACGCAGACGCTGCTTGCTGCTCCTTCAGCTGGTATCAGTACAGCAGGCTGCTTGCTGCTCGGTCCCGCACTGTCCCTGGGGCAGCAGCTCCCACGTTCCTCGTTTTACGAAACTCCATTTCAGATTGTCCAGCCAGCCGCAAGCATGCAGCATGCTGGCCAGCCAGTGCAGGGGCAGCTGCAAGGCTGAACCCCGACATACATGGGAGACGTGCGGCAGGGAGCCGGTCAGGAGGCAGAAGCAGGGCGGAAGACTCTACAGCCCTGTGCTCACCACTGGTGCCTCTGCAGAGAGAGCTGGGGTCTGTGCTCGGGTACTGTCAGACTTTCAGGCTCTTCTCCTCCTTACAGGACAGGGAGGCCTCAGGGTGCCAAGGCGCAGGCCCCCGCTGGCTAGAGTGCTTCTGTCTGCGGGAATGGAAGGACTACCCTGAATGCGCTGAGGGCAGCGTAGCGGGAGGCCCCAAGAGCAGCCACGGCCATGGGAGCTGGGATGAAGGGGAGGGGCTGCAAGAGCCTGGCAGGGAAGGAGGGAGACGAAATCCCTAAGACCCTGCATTCATTTCCAGCTGCTCCCCACGGTCTGGGCCTGTGAGGAGAGCTGTTCCCGCAGCAGATCTCACTCCCTGCATGAAGTTGCAGACAGACAGACTAGCCCTCCCCCGCGGGGCAGCCTGACTGCCCATGGGGCGACAGTGCCCCGGGCACTGGCACACAGGAGAGCCGATGCAGAGACTGACCCGGGGCAGGTGATGTGTTGGCCCCACTGCTGAAGGAGCAGCTCTGTCCTGCAAGACGCCACACGTTCACATCCCTGAGTGCCCCTGACAAGGCTTCAGAGGTTTCTGCAGGTTGAACTCCAAGACATCCCCTCCTGATTGGCTATTAGGCCTGGCCTGGCACAGGAGAGGAAGGCAGGGGAGCACGCAGCCCCCTTGCTACAATTACTTGGCCTTCCAGAACGAGAGAGTAGCCAGCAACAGAGAGCTGCTCACAGATCTTTATTCAGGCCTATAACACCAGATACTGGATCCACAGGAGTAACCAGAAATAATCACATTATGCCTAGAAAGCGGCTGAGGTCAGTGGTGAGTGTCACTAAGGCTACGTCTAGGCTACAGGCTTCTGTTGAGAGATACTGTCGACAAAGAGCGTCTAGACAACATCCAGTTCTGTTGACAAAGCAAGCCGCTTTGTCGACGCAAAGGACGGTGTAGATGCAATAACGCCTTCTGGCCACAGAACTCTGTCGACAGACGGCGTTATTCCTCGTAAAATGGGGTTTACAGCCGTCGACAACACTGCTGAGTCCTGTTGACGTTATGTCAACAGAACTCGGCGGTAGTGTAGACGCAGGTATCGTTTTGTCGACAAAACCCTGTAGTCTAGACACACCCTAAGTGACAAAAGCTACCTACTTTCTGACTCCAGGCCCCGCCATGATCCTCAGCATGGGCTCCAGGTCCTCAGCATAGCGACACATGGGGCCTGTGCACAGGAACTCCGTCCGCACCCCCACAGCATTGGGGAACTGGCCGTCATTGGGGACCACCCCTAGAAGGGCAGAAGCACAGGAGTTAGACACCACATGGCAAAGTATAACCTGGCACAGCTGGGGCACTCAGCACCAGGGAGCACGGGAGAGCCCATTCACGTGGTCCTGTGACAGCAGGCCACGGAGGGTGGAGGGAGCGCACAGCCAAAATAGACCAGAGCAGCGTCGGCCCCCCAGCCACTAAGTTACTTGGCAGAACTTCATGGCAACGAGAGGCTCCCTGAATAAAGACCCGCTGCTGACTCCACAACACCAAGTATTTTGTTGCTGAATAAGACACGTTGACTCGGTCAATGTCCTATTGCAAGGATCTGGGATGCAGCGTGCAATCAGGCCTCCTGCCACCCCTTCCCTGAATTAGGGTCTGTCTACACTACCACCCTAGTTCGAACTAGGGTGTTTAACGTAGGCATTCGAAGTTGCAAATGAAGCCCGGGATTTACATATTCTGGGCTTCATTTGCATCTTGCCGGGCGCCGCCATTTTTAAAGCCCCGGTAGTTCAGACTCCGTGCCCGCGGCTACACACGGTACGGAGGAGGTGGTTCGATTAGGCTCTCTTAGGAGTGGCCAGGCTGGATCAGACCATAGGTCCATCTAGGGCCTGATGCCAGGTGCCCCAGAAGAACAATCAGAACAAGGCAACCATGGAGTGATCCCTCCCCTGTTGTCCAGCCTCAGCTTCTGGATCCTAAAATACAGGAGGCCCAGTCAGCGTCTCTAATGTCTCAGTCCAATTCAGCACTAGCTTCCAGGGACTCACACCGGGGAGGAATTTGGCTTCCCACGTCCAGCAATAAGCTGGTGCTGAGAATCCTCTCCAAACAGATACACACAGGCCACAAGGGGGCAGCTGAACTCCCCATCCACGTCCACACCGACCCCCGCGGCTCCCCACCGTGTCATTTCTGAGTAGGGGGAGCAAAGATGCAAATTTCCCCTCCTGGATTCTTGGTACCTGTGGTGGGCTTATGTCCAAAGACGCCGTTGAAGAAAGCTGGCATCCGAATGCTGCCGCCGATATCGGAGCCCACCCCGATGAGGGAGCAGGCAGCCCCCAGGGCACAGCCCTCCCCACCTGCACAACAACAAAAGGCAGAGATGTGTCCCCTCCCCGGTGCTAACTGCACACTCCTGCGTTGGTGCCTGCGGCAGCTCGGCACGCTCCCTGCAGACAGCTGCAGCACTCTAGGCCCAAGGGACGGCCACATCACCGAGGCTGCCGCCCCGTGCCGAGCCTGAACTTCACTTACTCCAGTCCCGAAAAGACCGGACCTTTGGTGCCACAGGCAGAGCCAGGAGAGATCAAGGTGCCACCAATGTCAAGGCCCACGTGAGGGCAGGCAAGTGGTAGGCGAGATACACTAATGAGCTAAAGAAGTGATCCACCCCTCTCGCTGCAGCAGCCCGAGAATCCCCCCATGGTCCCTGCCTATCTGACCTAGGGGGATGCCTCCCTGACCCCAGATCTGGTATCAGCTTGACCCTGTGCACATGAGCAAGACACTCCAACCAGGCACCCAACCAAGCCAATTCTCTAAACTTCAGGGCAGCAAGGAGACCGTATAAAGGCAGAAGCAAGGTGAGAGAATCCACAAGATTCCACCTCCCATCTGTTCCATCCTCTAATGCCTCTGTGGAAGAAATGGTCAATTGAAACACTCCACTTTCAGCCTCTTCTCCTTCAGCAATAAGAGTTAGGTTTGCTGAAATCCATTATCTTAACCCACTAGTCGACTAGCGATGCGACTCGTCACTCCCACCTCCCCTTGCTGCCTCTATCAGAGAGAGGCAGGAGCCGGCTAAAACGCTAGTTCCCCCCAGCACAGTCTCTGCGGGGGGCAGGGAAGCAGAGGCACAGCGGAACGGTGCGAGCGGGAACCGGAGCAGTCTCTGCTCACACTGCTTCTTCTGCGATTTGGCTTTTGAAAATTGAGAAGGAGAAGCCTGGCAGGGAGTGCAGGACTCCCCCGCTGGCCCAGGGCTTCCATTTGAAGTGTACACGAGCCCCACGAGGGTTCTTGTACATTTCAAAGGCTCAGAGCCACCAGGGGAGTCCCATGATCTCTGCAGGGCTGAGAGCCCCACTGGGGCTCTTGTACATTTCAAAGGCTGAGGCCCAGCACTGGCTTCTGCTTTCGAAATGTACAAGAGCCACGCCCAGGCGCTCTAGGCAGGGCTTTCGCTTTTGAACTGTTGCAAGTTGCTACAGTTCAAAGGTGGAGGCGCCCTTATAGACTAATGGAAATCCCATTGACTATTCGATTAGCTAATTAATCTAAATGCAACATCCCTATTCCCACATCTGTTGCGGGTGCGACAGGGGGTTGTCACGGAGGCACAATGCTCAAGAGCCAGCATTCACCTTTGCAATTCCCCTGCATTGGGCTGCCCCTGTGCTACGACAGCTGTTCGTGTGGCTAGCCAGTGAATCATCTGCAGGGCTTTCCAAGCAAGTGATCAGCAAGAGGCCTTTGACAAACTCATCTGTGCATGGCAGCACTGGCTCCTTGCCAGGAGGCATCCACTCACCTGAGCTGCCACCCACAATCCTTTGCAGGTCATATGGGTTGTTCGTTCGGCCGTAGACATTGTTGCTAGACTCATACCACATGCAGAGCTCACTGCAATTGGTCACACCCAGAGGAATTGCACCAGCTTGCTTCAAGCGTGACACCACCAAAGCGTCTGACGAGGAGATCAAGTTGCGGCGGCTAACCAAGCCAGACGTGTTGGGCATGCCTATGGCGACAAGATCAAACAGACACCGTGCGTGAGAGAGGCCACGAGCAGCCACTCTAAATAACAAGCTCTGCCTGTGTGAGATCCCGTGGACGGCTGACTGTTCCGGATGCTGCCAACATCCAGCAGGAGGTCTCACCTGATGAAATAACACATGCCTCACCCCACTTCCATCCTCAACAGCCCACTGCTGATTTCTAGGCAAGTTTGCCAATCCCCCAAAGCCAGGGAAGCATGCCTGGTACCCCAAGCCCCTAGCAGCAATGCCTGGGTCCACACCCTCCCTCCCCAGGGACAGGAAACCTTTCACAAAGCCTACCTTGGCGCTCTGCCATGCAACGTGTGTCTCAATCCCGATGCACCTGGGAGAACACACGGAAGTGCATCTCCTGCCTAGGAAGGGCTCACCAGCGCTAAGATAACCTTTCAGAAGGCTACCCGGACACCGAATAAGAACATCTTTGCTCTTTAGTGTGATTAGTAAAAGGGCACCTAACCTACTTCAAATACACAACTGTCAAAATACAAAAAGATCAGAATGAAAAGCAAAAATCTCTCTCAGCAGCAGCCTACTGAAGGTAACAGCAGCACCAATGAGCAGCCCCTGCACCGTACTCTGCTGCTTCTATCCAGTGGAGAAGCTAGTTAATAGTCCCCTGGACGATCCGCGCTCGAGTGGGTCTGATCAGGGCTGAGGTGCTGTGGGGGCAGAGAGCGGAATGGCCTCCGGGACACGTGCTGTGCACTCTGGAGAGGACAAATGCAACAACGCTCAGGGAGGCAAACGATCCCATTTGCCAAGTCCAGCTCAGCGGGTATTTCACGGTTCTACACAGAACTCCCATAACGCAGAGTGCTGGGCCAGGGACACTAGCCGTTGATCAATGGCATGTCTAGTACTGAAACCAGAGTCACGGAACAAGGAGCCACAGGAATGACACAGGCCTGGCCAGAGAGGCAAGCACTAGGAAATGAGAAATTAGGCTAGGAAAGGGGAGCTCCTCCGTGCAGCTGAGCAGGAGGCATTGAGATGGCACAAAGCGACGGGGCAAGAGGGAAGGAGAGTGTTCCAGGCGGCTGTCCGGGGAAGCTCATGCTGGAGGGAGCAGCGGCTCAGCTGCAATGGGCCAGGTGACATTTGCACCCAGTGGGTCTGACACGGTTCCATGCAAAGAGACTGGCAGGAAAGTTCTTGGCAGTGGAGTTGCAGCCACTCTGGGCCCAGGGTGCCGGCGAGACGAGGCGGGTGAGGAAATCTCTCTTACCGGACCAATTTGACATAAGCACGCCCACGTGGCGCTCTCCCCAACAGGAGTGGGCCTAACAAGACATATTACCAGCCCCATGCAGGTCTCTCGGGAGGCTGTTGGATTCAGTTTAGCCGGGTCCACCACTTGGCCCCTGGCCAAAGCCACCCCTGGTGAGCAAGGAGCAAACTGAAAACAGGCTGAAGAGTAAATCCAAACAGCACCTGGGAAGCCGGGGTGTAAACGCACCGTGCAGCGCAAAGGCCTCCTTGACGGTGAAAGGAACCCCCAGAAAGGGACATTTTTCCTGCAGGGAATCTTCATCTCCACGGCCCTCCGAGAGCAGTTTGTCCACCTGGGAGGCCTCCTGAAGGGCTGCATCGAACCTGGAGGGATGGTTGGGAAGTCAGGGGGGAGAAAATGGGTCAGTCCCCGTCCAGACTCAGACAAACCTCCAGTCCACCTCTAACCAAATCCCAACCAGCATCGGACTGGGCTGACCAGCCTGCGAGAAGGGGCGGTCAAAGAAAGAGAAGGAGTTAGCAAAAAATAAGTAGGCTAGTGTGTTCAAAGCAGAGACCCGTGAAGCAACCCGTGACTTGCCTGCTTACCCCAACGCTAGCCCTTCCCAATGGCAAGCCTTCCTCCGGCCAGCCCCTGAACAGGAGAGCGGGTGGGGAGGAAATCTGGCCTCCAGTCCCAGCTCTGCCACACACTCACTGTGAGAACTGGGCAGAGTCCCTGGTCTGTAAGACTGGGGCAGTCATGAGCATTTGCATAGCGCCTTGCGACTCTCAGCAGAGAAGAGGCTTATTGCCACCTTATTTCAGTGCTTCCAGTTATAGGACAAGCTGCTCCCAATGAGTGACAGACACACCAGAAATCGCAAGTAACCAATTTCTACTTTGTCAGAAAATAATTGAACACTGTCTATGTCCAATCTGTGCAACATCTTTAGGGCAGACAAATGTTCCTGCAATTAAAGGGATTCACCACTTGCTGCGATTGGTCCCCAAACAGCATAACGTCCATTCATCAATAACTAGCAACAGACTAACTCACTTTTCTGTGTTTCTCTGCGTGAGTGTGAAACTAGTCCCAAAAGAGTAAGAACCGATCTGTACATCCACTCAAACAAATCAGCTGTCTCTGTTTCCTAGAGCCGCCTGGAAGCAGCAGAATATCTGGGAGGCATGCCATGCCCAGGGCATTAAAAAAATAGCAGTATGCTCACTGGAAGCTTGTGTTTGCAGGAATTCTCTGACTCAAGAGATACAGAAAAGCTCTGCCCATCAATACTGTACATTCATGGGAAATGGAGATAATTTACACACACATACGCATCGCATGTTTTAAAACGATTAGATTGATTTAAAATTATTCTGGATTCTGCCTGTGAAAGGCAACAACAGTCATTTGTATTTGTTGCCTCCCCCTTGGAGCAAAGGAGAACAGCAAGGCTGTGTAGACTGGCAAGTTTTTCTGCAAAAGCCACTGCTTTTGCGGAAAAACTTGCCAGCTGTCTACACTGGCCCTTTTGTGCAAAAGGGACTTTTGGCCGAACAGGAGCAGCATAGTATTCCCGCAAGAAGCACTGATTTCAGATAGTAGGAAGTCAGCGTTCTTATGGAAATTCAAGCGGCCAGTGGAGACAGCTGGCAAGTTTTTCCGCAAAAGCGCGTCTAGATTGGCTCGGACGCTTTTGCGCAAAAAGTGCTTTTCTGTTACAAAACTTTTCCGTTAAAAGCATTTGCGGAAAATCATGCCAGTCTAGACGTAGCCGAAGAGTAAAGAGAAATGGAGCAAATATCAATAGCTGCTTGAGGCTCAGTGAATTCAGGGCTGGTATAAAGAGGCATAAGGTTGACAGCCCTGTGTCCTCTATGTATCCATGGCAACATGAGAACATGCTGAGAATGTGACGGTTTTGAACAGTTCTCGCTCTGGTTTATGAACAGAATGGGCTCTGTCTGGTATTCCAACCCTTCGGATCTGCAGAATGATCACTGACAGTTACACGTTATTGGGATAGGCATGAGCCACTTAAGACACAGTCATTTGGTCAAATCTAGTTACTTGCTAGGTGTATACTGCTTGTAGATACAGAAGAGCTGCGTCTAGACTGGCAAGATTTTGCGCAAAAACTTGCCAGCTGTCTACACTGGCCGCTTGGATTTGCGCAAGACACTGACGATCTAATGGAAGAATTCAGGGCTTCTTGCGCAAACACTCTGACGCTCCCGCTCAGGGATAAGCCTCTTGCGCAAGACACTGACGATCTAATGGAAGAATTCAGGGCTTCTTGCGCAAACACTCTGACGCTCCCGCTCAGGGATAAGCCCTCTTGCGCAGGAATACTTTAGACAGGCACCTTCATTTTTTGCACAAGAAAGCCCGATGGCTAAAATGGCCACCGGAGCTTTCTTGAGCAAAAGTGCGTCTATACTGCGCACGGGTGCTTTTGCGTAAAAGCACTTTTTGTGCAAAAGCATCCTTGCCAATCTAGACACTCTTTTGCAGAAATACTTTTAACAGAAGAACTTTTCCGTTAAAAGTATTTCCGCAAAATCCTGCCAGTCTAGACGCAGCCAAGATGTCAGCAAAGAAAGCCTGTGCTATGGGCAAGAATAACAAGGCTGCTCCACCTACCACAGCATCCCTCAGAGTCAGTGATGATCACTTTCCCCTAAGCCATGGGGTGACTGCCTCAGGCCAGATGGGTGCAGGAGGGTGGTAGAAGTAGATTAGCCCCAGATTAAATAGTCCCTTTTCCTGGGGTGAACTAACAAACAGGCTAATTCAGAAGAAGCAGGAATTTGCCAGAATCAATTAGGGCAGACAGGCCAAGTAAGACACCATCAATTAAGCTAATTGGGAGCTTTCCAGAACCAATTGAGGCAGGCTAATCAGGAGCCAATAAAGAACCAGTTGGTAGTGGATAATAAGGCCTCCCTTTCTGTTAGTGGCTGTGGAAGGGCTGGGTGGAACAAGCGTGGGTCAGTACCGCGAGGAAGGGACTGTGGCTGGGGAAGGGTCCCAGGGGATCACAGCTGACAGCTGCTGTTGCAGGGTCCCTGGGCTGGAACCTGGAGAGGCGGGAAAGCCTGGGTTCCAACTCCCATTATGCCATGGGAGAGCTGATCTGGACAATGGGATGCTCCATAGGGGAAGGGCTAGTTTGGGAAAGAGACTGTCCTGCCCGCACCACTTGGAGCAGCAGCAGAGACTACAGGGTTTGATTCCCTCCCCTTTCCCCATGCTGGCCAATGCTGAGGGTGGCTAAATAAGTGGCAAGCTTGTGCCCCAGGGAAAGTGCCTAAACCCAGGGCTGCCATGAGCCTGAGTCAAGCCGTCTGCCTGGAAGGGCCGGACTCCCCAGGGCGGGGAGGGAGCTTCGACACGTGTGGGGTAAGCGTGCAGTGCTAACAGGTGGGGGGCATACATCCTCTGTGGTTGAGGAGTGGCTCAGTGTTCATGTAGCCCCTCCCTCGGTGAGCATGATGGGAGGGGGGAGGGGTACATCTGCAAAGAGGGAGAACTGCATCGGGGCTGGTTATCTTGCCCTAGTGCTGCCCATGGAGCTTGTAACAGCTGTTGAACTGGAAGACAGAAAAGTCCATTTCCCACCTTTCCCCGGCTCACCTGTCCTTGACAATCGCATTGACAAGCGGGTTTACCTCCTGGATCCGCGTGATGTAAGCCTGGACAACATCCGTGCATTTCACCTGCAAAAGAAAACAACAGAACCTAACTAGGCCCAGGTGACAGGGAAGCTGCTGATCATGCCAGGATGGTCAGGCTTTTAGAGTCTTGAGATGGAGGAAACTACATTACTGCTCTTGTGGAACTGCCTTTAGCCCCTATATATCCCGGGTCACTGGGTGATAGTCACTTACCTCCGTAGCCGCTTGACTTTCCCCAAAACTCCTATCTACCCCAGTAGCCATTCCCCTGGAATTCCCACTGAAATGAATGGTCAGGATTTCTCCACTGAAAGTCTAATGCATAGGGATCAGCCAGCCATTATAGAAATGCAGCCAGGGCACAAAGTAGCAGCCTCTTTACAGATCACGTAGCAACCCTACCCCACAGATCATGATAAGCAGCATATCCAGCTTAAAATGGCATGGGGAATCAGTAGACTGCAGGGACAAAAGCTGGCATTTAGCCAAGACGCAGAGGTTTACGCTCTCGGTCCGACTAAAACTGACACCGAATTTTGCACCTCGTATAAAGACAGATCATTCCACTGCCATGCAAATACAATCTCGCTCATGATCAATTCTGCAATTTTTTACTGATGACAACAGGGCAGAGTCTTGTTTTTCATCAGACATTTCACAACATGCTGCTGGATCTCTAACTGCACCTACTGCTCTCGGGATCATAGTGCTAAAGAGATGCAGCTCAGCATCCAAGGTACGTGTGGCAGGGGAGCGGACCGGCACTTTAAAGTAAAGGGGCCACAACAAAATTTCCTGGCACCTTTTTTTTTTTTGCTCAACAAAAATTTTCCTGACCTCGGGGGGGGATCATGAATGTAAAAAGGTTGAGCACCACTGACTTAGACTGTTGGCTTCCCCAAATGAAAACCCATTACAAACGAGTGCTGGCATAATTACTATTCCAGCTGAGCCTCAAGAGAGTAGTGTTACACAACTGCCCTTTCTGAAGCATTGTATTACTAGTGCAGTAGGTCTCTGCCCTTGGAGACTACAGCTGCATTGCTGGAAGACAGCAATGGAGCAGCCAGGGCATGCACAAACACATGCACCCAGTGCTTAATTTATGCCAGGGCTGAGGCTTGGCAGTTCAGTTATGAGAATTAAAAAATGGCTTGAGCTCCGGCACCTCTTCCATTACAATGAAGCCCGGCATGTGTAACCCACATACCTGCTGAGCGTGGTGTCCTGTCCCATCTAGTGGCTCCCAGACCGCTGACAGAGAAGCATGAATCTGCTCCACAGCCTTAGCTACCAGCCAGCTGGCTTTTAGCCCATGCCCTGTGACCCAGAGGTTCCAGGTTTGCTTCCACCTCTTGGCGTTCCACGTGCATTACTAGGGCAGTGGGGAAAAAATCTCCCTCTGAAATGATTCATTCATCACCCAGCTGTGTATAAAGCGCTCACTCACCCACAGCTTAGTGAATGAGGGACTGCAGAAATGCAGGCTCCCAGAAGTATTTACAGGCCTGGCACGTCAGGAAGATCAGGCATTCATTACACACCAGTTCTTACTGAGGAGGGTTTTTGTCGTGCATTCGAGTGCTCGATGTCACAACCCTCCTTGAGGACTGAGAAACAAGACAGATCATAAAAACGAGGAGATGATCAGGGCTGCTTTTATGCCAGATTATGGCCCATGGCAACTTTACCAGGGAGGCATGTCCTACGCCCCTCCCAGCAAACAGTGCTGGCTAATCTTGATCTAAGTAGAAGCGCATTCGTGTACATGCCCAATGAGGCAAAGGGTAAGTCTATATTGCAGATACAGCTGGCTGGGCCAGTTTACTCCGGCTTGCATGAGAAAGGGGAGCAGAAGGGGCCAGAATGTGGAGACCCCGCCCAAGGGGACAGAGCGCAGTGGGGGGAACCCAGAGAGCGCAAGTGGGTGATGCGCACCAGATCCCTCCCTCAACCTAGGGACTAAGCCTGGGGGGTTCCCCCTCACCGCAGGGGGGGCAGAGCAAGGGAGGGGTTTCGGGGGGGAGGGGGAATAGGGGCATAGCAGGAGACCTGACACCGGGTGACAGGGGCAGAGCGACAGGGTCCCTTCCACCCAAGCTGGGGACAAGGGGCTGGCCCTGGGCAGTCTCCCCTCACCACGGGAAGCAGAAGGGCGGAGTGAAGTGGGGTATTCAAGGGCAAGGGGGGATCCTTCCATCGGGGCAGAGCGCAAGGGGGCGGAGCACAGAGGAGCTCAGAGGGGAGCAG